AATATAATTAAATATTTTCCCTATCTAATACATCCATATCGTTTGCTGGTTTCTGAAACAGGGAAATTTTATATTATGTCATTTAGTCTCCTTCATTATTTATTTTCACCTCATGCTGAAACCAAAAAAATTAAAGATATTGTGTTTTCTCATCCCCAATCTTTAATACAACGTACTGAAAATATTGAAAATATTGAAAGTAATACTCTAAATAGAATCAAAGTTAAATGCAAAGAAAATTTAATAATAGGTAGCAAAGACTTCAAAATATATCATAATTATTTAGCTCAAAGTAATTGTCGTCTACTTCTCGATATGTTACACTCTCTATTTGTAACTATTATATGGATTGCTAATGGTGGAGGAGTTATACATAAACAACATACATTGGTACGCAATTATTTGACCTTACAAGGGAATATTACCTTAAAACCCACTCACTCCCAAAATCCATATAAAGTTACATCACGAAAACCTATTCATAATCCTAGACTACCTTCTTCTTCCCAACCACCATCTCAACTTGAACTAACATCATCTCCACCATCACCATTATCTAATAATGTTAATCAACAACTGAATTGCCAGAATCCATATGGTTTATGTCATGCACAGATTATTTACAGTTCATTCCATACAGATGAAATCAAATGTAATGTGGCTCAACATGTTCATAATTATGGTTGCCTTCATTTGTTGAATTATACTCCAACAGTTCTTGAGGAAGCCTTTAGTGAAACATTAACATCACACAGAGATAATATTCTAACTGATGTAATTGAAAATGAGATCAATATAATTTTAGCATTTATATCACAGATAAAAAAGGAGCTCGAGTCAATATATATATATATATATATATATATATATATATATATATATATATATATATATATATATATATATATATATATATATATATATATGTCGTACCTAGTAGCCAGAACGCACTTATCAGCCTACTATGCAAGGCCCGATTTGCCTAATAAGCCAAATTTTCATGATTTAATTATTTTTCGACTACCTAACCTAACCTAACCTAACTTTTTCGGCTACCAAACCTAATCTAACCTATAAAGATAGGTTAGGTTAGGTTAGGTAGGGTTGGTTAGGTTCGGTCATATATTTACGTTAATTTTAACTCCAATAAAAAAAACTTGACCTCATACATAATGAAATGGGTAGCTTTATCATTTCATAAGAAAAAAATTAGAGAAAATATATTAATTCAGGAAAACTTGGCTTATTAGGCAAATCGGGCCTTGCATAGTAGGCTGAGAAGTGCATTCTTGCTACTAGGTCCCCACAGACCAGTTTTAGACCAGGCCTATTTCTACCCCCAGGAAGCAGCCCCTGACAGCACTGCTATGAAACAGGGGTATCAGGGTGAAAGACACTATCCAATGTTCGTATCCACTCAGCTGTGTGGTGGTCTAAATGGAAGATTATTCATGTGTAGATTAGAACTGAGGATAGTCGTGACCCCTGCAGGTAACCCCACATATTGACTAGATGACCATCGTATCAAAATAACACAACTAAGTCAACAAGAATGTTGTTTCGTTATATATATAATATAATCATTAGTATACATTATTAGTTTAGATGTGAGAGACATTTTTTTATATAAAATAAAATAATAATGTCACTATCAAATTCCTTATATATTATAATATTTATAATATTTTTAATTGTGATCTTTTCAATTATATATTTATATTATTCAAGAAATAGGTCAACAATTTCAACTCAGCATCCTCAACTGTCAATGAATTTCATTACAAAAACTAATACTAAACCTGCTGGTCTGTATGTTGTCTTTGAAAGTAAGTATTATATGGACCAAAATCGTGGTTACGATATGATTTCTCATGTAAATACAGTTAATTGTAATGATGATACAACGATTCCTAATGATGAAAATAATAATGTATTTTGTAAATTTGATACATCCATATTTGATCAATTTAGAAAAGAGAATTGGTATTTTAATACCTTAACACCGATAATTTTATTATCTATTCGTAATCTTCCAAATTTTTTACCTATTGTATATGAGAATATTGAAGATCTTCCACCCTCTGCAGATCATGAGATTACAAGCCTGCGTGAAAATATGAAGAAAAGCTCAATTGCTAATGGTAATAAGTTACCAAAATGTGTATGGGTATCTTGTTCACATATTTGGGTTAATAGTCCAAACAAATATACTCCGCAAGGTTTTCCTGTTTATTATTTTCCAACCAAGGAACATATAGATGGATATTATGCCCCACTTCTTCCTATTCAATTGAAACTTAGCCCAGGTGAAAATATTATAATATGTAAAATGTGGGCAAAAAATATTAATATAATGAGTGATCCATTTGCTGTGGTTAAATTTAGGATCACGGTTAAAATGTAGGATTTATAATACTATAAAGCATGATATAGTAACCTGTTTAAATATTATTACTAAAAAGATAATTATATAAAAAATAAGGTATGTAGATTTGTTCTTGTGGAACAAATTATTCATTCTACTTTTGTATCAACACATCTTTATATATTTCTGAGCTTATAATATACAAAGAACTATTTTTTTTTATCATTTTCAGATAATTATAAAGTGATGGTGATATTGGTTCTATTTGTTCTTCAAGATCCCAACTGTCAGCAAGGGTGGCGCAGTTGCTTTTTTTTTTTTGTAAACCATGAAAAAGCAATATGAAATCTACCCCAGAAAATATTCTGTTATAATACTAACAGCCCCCAAAAATATCATTCAAGTGTGGGATAAAATTGTCATATGGAGAAATAATTTAAAAATAAAAGTGGAATTTTTACAAAACTTTAATCCAACAATCAACTTGTATCATTTAGTGGAAAATTCATTTTTACTTATATTAGATAATGTTTCATCGATAAATGTAAGAAAAACATTTGCCGACGTATTAATTGATCTTCAAAACAGTGAAATAATTATTATAAAATGTGCTTCAATTACTTGGCCCTCAATAAATAAAGTGGAAAACTTTAATTTAAAACATTTTGAAGATGTTAAGATTATTTTAAGTATGAATGACTGGGAACGAAATTATGTATTGGTAAATAAGTACCTTTCATATGAATTTGCAGACATTAGTATTAAACCTCATTTAAAATCTTTAAATATTTTAACAGAAGATATAGGGAGTATCAATTCAGAAAAATTGAGAGCAAATCTACTTGATACTTGGAACAATGAAATACCCCCTATATACCCTTCTGAAGTTCTCCCAGAGAGTGAATATACTGTTACTGAAGTAAATAGCAACAAACGCAGCAGTGAGTCACAATCAGGTTCAATTGGCATGCCTTCAAAACATAGGAAGTATTACTGCCTGGTGTTATAATGGATACTGCTCATTGGGAAGCGTGTCAAAGAAAAGAATATATATGTGTGTGTGTATGTATATGTATGTATGTATATATATATATATGTATGTGTACCTATTTTAGTTTACATAAAATATAGGATGGAAGAACATGTACGTAGTAAATTAATCTCTTTTTTACTCAAAATTCAATAATTTCATTCGTTTATTATGCTATGATAGTGAACATAATGTTAAAATAAATATTTTATTTATTTATTTATATATTTTTTTCAGATGATTGAACCCTTTTTGATTAAAAATCCAGGACGTTTTACATTGTTCCCAATTAAAAATCATGATATCTTTAAAATGTATAAGAAGGCGCTAGCATCATTTTGGACAGTTGAAGAAGTAGACTTGTCAAAGGATATTGTAGATTGGGAACAGAAACTTAATGACGAGGAACGTCACTTCATTTCACATGTTCTAGCATTTTTTGCCGCATCAGATGGTATCGTCAATGAAAATCTTGTTGAACGTTTCTGCCAAGAGGTACAAATACCAGAAGTGAGGTGTTTTTATGGTTTTCAGATTGCCATGGAAAATATTCACAATGAAATGTACAGTTTACTTATTAATACATACATAAAAGATTTACAGGAGCAGAACAGATTATTTAATGCTATTGAAACGCTGCCAGCTGTTAAGAAAAAAGCTGATTGGGCTCTAAGGTGGATTACCAATAGAACGGCAACATATGCCGAACGCATTGTTGCCTTTGCTGCAGTAGAGGGTATTTTCTTTAGTGGTTCATTTGCTGCAATATTTTGGTTAAAAAAACGTGGTTTAATGCCAGGTCTAACCTTCAGTAATGAATTGATTTCTAGAGATGAAGGGTTACACACAGATTTTGCTTGCTTGATATTTAAGTACTTGATTAATAAGCCTGATCAGAAATATGTATATTCTATCATTGATAATGCTGTGAAGATTGAACAAGAATTTTTAACAGATGCCTTGCCAATCAAACTTATTGGTATGAACTGTGATCTAATGGGGAAGTATATAGAATTTGTGGCTGACCGACTTCTCTTTGAACTCGGTTTTAAGAAACTTTATAATGTAGAAAATCCATTTGACTTTATGGAAAATATCTCATTAGAAGGGAAAACTAATTTTTTTGAAAAAAAAGTAAGTGAATATCAAAAATATGGTGTAATGAATTCAGATCAATACAGTGTTTTTACATTAGATTCAGACTTTTAGTTAATTAGTTGATGGATGGAATAGAACATGTTTTTTTTTATATAGAATATAAATAATTTAATATAAAAATAAAAATATATATCTATTATCTTTTACTATTTTACTTATCATATTTATATTTTGACTTGATGAATAATGAATTAAATACCTTACATTCTCTCTTTCCACTAATTACAAGACTACAAAATATGAGGTATGTAATTATGGACATAATAACAAAACCATAATCTTCTTTATAAAATATCAACATATCACATGATTACCAAGCAGTACTACTATCGTCCGATGTAAACACCAAGTTTGGTTATCGCCATTGAATCAACTTTTCTATTTTATATTCACCAATGAATATAATTCAAAGAGAGAAATGAATCATTACATTAAGTTCCATGCAATATGCCGGTGATACAATATATAAGAGCCTCCGTATCCAGTCCAGTCAACCAGTATGCCAGAATCCTGTTCAGTAGTAATACGGGCTACTGTGTAATGGAGCTATCCAAGGAATCTTGTGGTGTAAGTACCTAAAAGTTATTTTATGATAAGCATGATGAAGCTTTGGACACTATATTATAATAAATAAATAAATAATGTCTCAGGTGCATTTGTGATGAAATCTAATCTTTCTAGGATGATATTAGCGATATCAGTGAGGGAGCCGAAGAGAAGAAGATAAAAGAGAAAAAAGATACTACTTCAACTAGCAAGTCTATTATTGTTAAAATAGAAAACCATATCCATTCCAATGATGAAAATGTGGCTTTGAGAAAGTTGGTTAATATAACGCCTGAGACTATATCAAAAAAACAACGTTATTGTGAAATTAATACTCAAAGTTTATTACAAATATTAGAATGGTTTGCTAACCACGATGGAACCAATGTGTTGCTGTATGAATTTGCCCACAGTGCATCATGTCAAAAAAAAACTTGTACCCCGATTTGTCTAATGTTTCGCCGGGTTCGTCATCATGTAGTAGTTTCTAGACATCCACATTGTTCGGTGTTAATCTTATATTCAACCCTCTTGCATACACATGTGTCTTCATGTGTTAATGATGATTGTGGGTTGCCTGCTTGTCATAGACTGAAAACCACCAGATCAACTATAAAGTTTCGTCTTGCCAAAAAGAAGTGTGGTTGTTAACTCAATGTTGTCTGCTGGATATATATTATTGTTAAAATTTTTAATTCGACCTATCAACAGAAGCGCATTATGATATTGATTGAAGTGTTTTTTTTTTTTTTTTTTTTTCCATAATATTTGACAAACGAACTTCTGTGAAGAAAAGACGCTTTCCTATTTCTGCAACGGAGGCCTGTCGCTGGATATTTATTGATTTGTACTAGTTAGTGATATGTTTTATTGAATGTTTTCTTCATACCACTGACTAGTTAAATTAATATATATTTACAAACATAAGGCAATTGTGATCTGTTGTAGGTCATTTGGTGAGATGGTGTGTTAAATGGTTTCACCATAATGTGTGAGGATTCGATGAACATTGTTTTAATTTCACTGGTCGAATCAAATAGGGGCAATCATCAGTTTCAGATGCTTCACCAACAACCGGGCTCATCATCAATGGCATTACATATTGCAATCTGTGCTCCTTCCTACTTCAATAATGAAAATGATGAGGTCTTGCGAAAGTGGAATCAACTTCAAGCTTTTTGGGGGTTTGGTAAAGGTAAATATGTGGATTTTATTTTTTTTCAATGTGGTAGTGAGTAAACCATTATGGAAAACTTAGTAGATTTGACTAGTTGTTTATAATATTGTAAAATGTATATAATTAAAATAGTATAATTTTATGAATTTTATTCCAGGTTATTATTCGTCCAATATGTCACCTGTAGAGTTCACATCTGAAAATCCATATTGTCGTTTCAAAGTAGTTTGCTATACAAAAATTCCCAATTATCGTAATGAAGATGGTATTGTGCAAATTATAATTGGAAGGGGCCTTTCAGAAGTGGAGTAAGTAATTAATATTCATATACTTGTATAATATTCTAATAATTTTTCAGTGTTAAATATGACTAGGATCCGGGAACATTAAAAAATGTTTTTTTTTTTTTTTTTTTTATTCTTCCAGGGCCTACAAACAGGAAGTTATTTCAGCATTGAGTCTATTATTCGGAGGTAATGAAGTTGTTGTTAATGAAATTTTTGCTGCTGAAGTACCAAACAAAACGAACTTCAGATTTTACATTCAGCAAGTTTTTCCTAATGGTAAAAGAATTTAAAGATTTTATAATGTTTTCCCTAATAATAATTATCATAAAAAATGATTTCAAGTATGGTATTATGCAAACTGCTCTATATTATAATATACCTTCTAGGAGAGATTCAACGTGCATCTACCACTGACACCTTTAGTCATATGTTAAGAGCATCATACAATTCAATTTTTAAGGTAAGCCTAAGTAAGCCTTATTATAGCTTGCACCAATATATTTAATGGGAATTGATATCAGGTTGGCTTAAATAATCAAATTAGCTTAAAAGGGACATTATTAATGGAACGTTTTTTGATAGACAGACAGAGACAAAAATGCCTACTTTTTCTGTTTCAGAATTTGTTTATTGAACAGATTATTCCAATGTTGACTTTAACTGAACAACAAATGAAGAAATATCTTGATACACCGCAAAGAGGTAAATGATTTTGATATGACCAATCCATCTACTTATCGTGACATAATGACAAAAGTGAAGATATTACGGGGTATTTTTTTCCTACATTTGTGGAATTAAAAATTAAAATAAATTATTTATTGTTTATAGGAATTGATCCAGCATTGTGGGAACTGGGCAAGCAAAAAAATCCTGACCCAAAGAAATTGATACCTGTTGTAAAAGTGGGATTTCAGGAATTACAGAAACAGTTCAAGTATCAAGAAGAATATGGTAATAAAATTCATAATAGTATGAAGAATATTATGGATGATATAAGACAATTAAGTTGTATGCAGACGACAATTAAAGTTACCATTCAGAATTTTAAGTTGAAACAGACAAATATAATGCGCCGAGTTCTAAAATTGGTGTCAGCACAAGAGGTTGAAAGGAAAAAAAATCTACCACTAGAAGAAATAGCC